TGATTTTAACTTACAAATAGTTTGCTTTGTGGGCATGGGGATACATGCTTATTTGTTTATTTTACTTATTTAACAAGTATCTATTAATAGTCTAATAATATTAAACAAATATATTAGCTATATATATAAAGGTGGCAAAATACATGCAGAAATAAATGTAATACTCAAAAAAAGTAACAAAGTGCCTTGAGAGAGAAAGAGACTGAGGGCTATTGAAGGAGGCAGAAGGGGAGGATTATATCCAGATTGGAGGGATAGCAGCTGTACTGAGGGCAGGCTGCATGGAATAATAGTCTTTGGCCTAAGAATAGAGCAGGTTTGAACATACACCAGAAGTTTCCAAAGGGAAATCCAAGTGACAAGTGGATATGGACATGTGCACCGGAGTGGGAAAGTTCCTATTAACAGCTAAACACTTTGAATATAGGAAAATAGTTAAAAAGGAATGGAGATGCTCTTTGGGTGGCACCACATCACTGATGCCACAATAAGGAGCTGGGATTTCTATTTTTTAAGAGAGAGTGAGTGCGTGAATTGGGGCTGGGGAGGGGTGGGACCGTGGGAGACGGAAAGAGACTCTCAGATCCAAGATGAGCGTTGAACCCAACACAGGGCTTGATCTCACAATCCCGAGGTCATGACCAGAGCCGAAATCAGTAGTCAGAAGCTTAACCAATGGAGCCATCCAGGCACCCCTGGAATTTATTTCATAACATAGATACTTAAGCATCTCGTAAACAGTTTCCGAAGAGTTTTGATTTAGAAAGATTTATCTGGCTATGGTTTGTAGAGTGAATTTTGGAAGCAGGAGACTCCAGAAGCAAGAGGATTACCTTAAAGAGTTAGAAGTAAGAGGACTAAAATTGGATAGCAACCATGATAACAGAGAGCAAAGAGTCAGAAATACTTTGGAAAAAAAAAACCAAACAGGAAGTATTTGGGAAATGATTGAATGGGGCACAGAAAAAAAAGTTGCTAAAAGGGGTTTTATCCTTTCGTATTGAGATTCTGGAAGGAACTAGAGGACACTGAAGGAGAAGCATACATGGAAGGATAGCACAGGTTCAGTGCTATTTTGTATACCCTGAGCAGACTCAACAGGATTTTCTTTTTTAAGAAAACATCTAGAAAGTAATTAGAAAAACACAAACAATGCATAAAGAGGCAATGAAAAAAGAAAACATGGGTTTGGACTCTGCCTCACAGAGAGGACAATTAAAGGCATACAATGAAAGAACTTATATAGGTAAGGAGTATAGGAAGGGGAAAGTTCCACTGAGAGGTCCTTGGGAAGACTAAATATTGGGACAAAAGAAGATAATTATTAAGTACACACATCTACAAAACAGTATTCTAATTGTATATAATACTCATGTCACAAACATGGAATTAGGAACTTGAGGCAGCCAGCAAGGAAAAGGAAAAGGAAGGGATAGCAATAAGAATCATAAAGTGAATAAGGAAAACCTCTCTGGAAAAAATGCAATTGGAGCCAGGGGTGAAATGTGTTTTAAGCAGGGAGGCTGAATGGTGTTCAAATGCTTCCAAAAGAAAACATTTGAAGGAAAGCCTATTGAAGTTCAGAATCAGCGGGGCCTTTTCAGAAAGAAGTTATTGTAGAGGTGGGAGCAAGATCCAGATTCCAGTTAGAAGGTCAAGAGGAGTTGAGGGAGTATGTAGAGAGCATCCTTTCAATGAGGTTACCAGTGAAGGGAATAGAAAATATATATCCCTCGTTTGAGTGAGTAGTAGGGTGGAGTGAAGAACTATTCTGGCTTAGAATAGAACTTGATTGAGCAGTACCATAAACTCTAGGGGACAATCTAGAAACCAAAGGCGTAAAACATAAATGTAATAGTCAATGAGCAAGTGGCTGAAAGAATAGTCAGAAAAGAGCTGGTTGAGGGCAGAAGAGTGGATGTTAGCTCACAATGAAGAAGGAGATACTCTTTGCTCTGAGGCAGGAGTAAGGAAGAGGCCATGAGAAGACACAGACACATACTGAGACTGGAGGAGTTTAGAGTTCATGACCAAGGGAATTTTGATTTTATGCATTGCCTTAATCTTCAGTTTTTTGAGACTAGTCCAGAACTTTTAGGTAAGAGTCAGTTAAAAAAATGAGACAGGTGAGCAAATTAATGCAGATAAAAGGATTGTTAGCTGTTCATAGGCTAAGCCAAGAGAATGTGGACTTGATGTATTACCAGTTGACCTCATCTTAATACTTTTTCAGTTATTCTCTGGCTTTGAGGAGCAGAAGTAGATAATGCAAGGGTAGGTTTACCCAGACACTGAAATTTACAAAAAGAGAATTGGGTCAGATAAGGGAAGGCTGGAGAACTTAGGATGCTAAGCTGTTTTTTTCACTGACCTGGCAGAACCTTGGAGAGCGAGTGAGAGGACAGAAAGGAGCAATTCCTGAAGAGGGTTTTTATGTGAGAATGAGTAGTTAAGGAACCCTAAACACAAACGTAGAATAAAAAAAGTGACTGTTGCAGGATTGAAATAGGAGCAGTTAAAAAATAGAAAGTTGTGTTCTGAGAGGCAGATTTCAGAATTCAACATCTTGGATCTGAAGTAGATTGAAATGATTTTGAAATGAAATGAGGGTGTGTGTGAGAAGTCAAAATTAAGTGAAGGACACTCAAGACCAATGAATGATTATCAACAACAGCGATGACAGATTCAAAGATACACCACCTAACCTTATTAACTATTTGTTATGTGCTGGGAATTGTGCTAAGTGCTTTACTTCTACTAACTCAGTTCATCTTCACCTACTGACTGTGTGGTAGGCAGTAGTCACAGCTGTTGGGCTGATTATTTCCCCCCTCCCCAGCCAATGGGTTAAATTGATTAATAGGGTTAGTCCTTACATAGGTTTTTAATTTTCTAGGCTTCCTGAATGCTTAAGGTCCACACAGGCATATGCAAATAGTTCATTAGGGACAGTACAGAAGAGTTAACTTATTATAGAACATGTTGCATAACACCTGGGTATGGCTGTAGATATTATATAAGGCACAGTCTCTGGACTGTTTGAGAGAGCTGACATTGCAAATCCAAAAAAAAAAAAAAAAAAAAAAAAATCTCTCTAGAAGCATCTGTCTTCAGAAAATACAGGACTTTTTTTTGAGGAATTGTGACTTTATGTTCTTATTTTTGTTACTTTTTAAGCATAAGTGAAACTTTTGAGTCATTCTTATGGTTAAATATATAAATTATTTTTGTCATTTATTATACATTTCTTATATATTTGTAGGAATTATGACCAACATTAAAATGAAATTCAATGCATGTATTTAAGCTAAATGCATCAGTACTTGATTAGTAAATAGAAAAGTGGGTAGGCACTCTGAACTGATCATTAAAAATGCATCACTTAACATTCTTAAGCACTTGGTTACATTATGATAAGATAATTGCAGCAATTTTTGTTCCTAGTTTCATTAAATGGACTACCCAGCACTATTACACCTTGTATAGTTATTACCGCAGAATTCCAAAACCCCAATCAGGTGAGGGTCGTGGCTACTCCATAATTACCATCTGTTTGGTTGTGTTAGTGTTTCTCATTATAACTCAGAAGGTCAATGATACTGTTCATGATAGCAAGGCAGTAAGACCAGAAGTAATAAAATAGTTCTGAGACTAAGGAGGCTCTGCTACTCCAGCTGATGGACAGTTAATTGCTTGAGTATAAAACAGTGAGAGCACTGGGAGAAATAGAGAACTTTGCAATATGGTCTATATCCAAGTACAATATTATTTGGTGATTTTTCAATAAACTACATTGTTCAGTTAGAGGACACGAGCGTATCCTGTGGCAGAAGAGGATATAATCTTGAGAAAAGCAACGTTTGTTGTTGTTTTTTTCACAGTCTCAGACTACTTGGATGAGCATTCCAAATCCCTTAGACCCTCGTTTCTCCTCTTCAGCAGCACATTAGAATCACCAGGGGACTTTACGCATCAGGAAAGATGGCGCCCCACCCCAGGCCAATTAAATCTGAATCTGTGGAGAGCAATAACCAAGCATGGAAATGTGTTTTTTAAAGGTGTTTCGGGGGCCTCTAATGTGCTGGGAAGGTTTAAAACCTCTCTTCTAACAATTAACATTAAAAAATAATAATTGTCAGTATAGATAGATCCATTTGTGAAAAATTAGAATTTTCTATTTTAGTTTCAATTTATATGGCTTATATAGGAAGACTTGCATAGTTCATACATTAACCATTGACTTTGATTAATCTCTTAAAATTAAGTAATCCTTTATAAACTTAACATCTGACTTCTTAGTTCCTATAGAGAAATTTCAAATGTGAGAGTCGAAAGGCATTTATTCCTAGGAAAAAGTTTTAGATGCTGTGCAAAATGTTCTTTTTAATCAAATGGGATTTATGTTTATCCATAGGGTTGTGTGATTAACTCTATCATTTTACTTGAGTAAAGAGAGAAATAAGTGAATAGATGTAAAGCTCTTACCTTTAAAAAAATATTTCTGTAGCTATTGTTAGATACTTATTGCCTATAAATATTTTATAGTGTTTAATATTTTTATGTTTAAATAGATTATAGATCATTTCATAGAGAAAACATTTCCACAGGTTTCTAGAATTCACATTAAAATTATGTATAATTAGGTGACAAAAGATCACAACTGGTAAGGCTAAGAGCACTAACTTCTCTTCACTATGCCTTTCGGAGGGAATATAGATGCCTCTCTCTTAAGTGGCCAGTGTTCCTTCCATATTATTTATTTATCACCTGTAAGAAGAATAGAGACTAATCTAAATTTAGTTTTATAGAAAATGTGAAATAAAATGCTACTTATCAATTTTAAAACCTCTGGCTCCTTGGCTTTATGTTTCCAGTTTGAGATTTTTGAGTACTATTTTTTTTTAATCTAAAAATGTCTCAAAACTATTTGCTATAGTCTCATTAAACTCCACACATTGTTTTCAAAAAATATTCTTTTCTTTTTGTTTTTTTTCAACTAGGACCCCTACTATGGCTGGTGGCCTATTTTCTATTGACAGAAACTACTTTGAAGAGATAGGAACTTACGATGCAGGAATGGATATCTGGGGTGGAGAGAATCTTGAAATGTCTTTTAGGGTAATTCCATTTTACTTTATTTTTTTAACTCTGAACACACTATGCTGTAGCATGCACATATAGACCCAGTAATTTACTGTCAAATCTTTTTTTTTGTGAAGAGATGCAAATTACTGATCAGTTGGTCATTTTGATACTTATTTAGAAGCTTTGCTAGAGTCTTTTTGCATGCAATATTTACTATTAAATGGGAAATTATAGCTCTTTTTAAAGTTTTCAAAAATAATTCTTTTATTCATAGTGCAAAGACATTAGGGCTTTCAGTTTTTGAAATAAAGAAGGGCTTTATTTTTTTAAATAAAGCATTACCCTTTAAAATCACATTGTGTTTTTGAACTGAAACTTGGAAGTATTTATGTTACCTGAATTTGCAGGTGCTGCCTGAGGTTATTTTCAAATACCTTTAAGAATAACCTGTGGTCAAAGGAACTCTGGATAATTCTTCAAGTAGCATGATTGATTTCACAATTATAGACATTAGTGTTTGATGAATCAGTTTGAATAATGCAAATTCACTTATTAAAAGGCCTTCCGAGCAAATGAATAGTTAAGGATTAACTTCATGCATATGATATTGGAAAGCATATGAATAATTTTTATATTTTATTATATTTATAAATCTAAAAAGCAGACATATAAATGTGCCTTCATGCTAACATATGATAAGTGCTAGAATACTGTTTTTTCTTCAAACCACATATATTATTATTTTTAAATGAATTAAATTAATGATATTGTTGTTTTCTTTCTTCGTAGAATTTAACATGAAATATTCAAAACACTGTATTGATTTTGCCAAAATCATGTAATAAAATTATTAGAGTTTAGATATAATTATCTGTGAAGTGCAAGAGTTGTAACTTTTAGTTTCTCATTTAGAAAGTAAAGTTTGTTTTTCACTAACAAAATATAATTATATGATGTGTAAGAAAAGTAAAAATTTTAGAATAAGAATTACTTTGAATTTATATTAATACGGAATTTAGTGGATCTCAGTAGTCTGAATTATTTTAGAACCACTAGAATGGTCTTCTTATACAATTTTTTTGCCTATAAACTTTCCTTATAGCCAAATGTCTGAGAACATCATTAGCTAATGGAGTTTTGTTCTTTCCATATTTGCTTATGTACTTACAGTCAGATTAGAACTTGCCCCATGAGATTTAGCACCATACTCAGGAATGTCTTCTTGACATCAGGCACATGATATATCTTTGCACAACCTTTAGGGACATTTGGGGACCCAACCTTTTCACTTGGTGAAGTTCTCAAAGTGAAGAAAATAAGAGATAACGGTTAAAAAAAGAACAGAGGAGTGGAAGGAAGGAAGGAAACAAGGAAGGGAGGAAGGCAGTATATTCAAAAGCTGAACAAAAAATTTTCTTTTTCCCTGAGATGTAGCAATGAGAGTATTTACCCATTCATTAGCCGATGTTCCTTAGATGTTGTGCTGGGATTATATAAGGAAAAAAATCAATATAGCAATATTGCTATTGTATGTGATCCTATTACCTACCTTTTTTCCCCTTAACTATTTAAGCTTGATTCTCTGCCAGTGGACTCCCCTTACTTTCATCCCATAGCTTCCATATCAGATGGATGTTCTCTATCCAACTAATTGAAAGCTATGTTAGGGAGCAGCTTAGTGGACTCATATGAAAAACCAGGAGAACATGATCAGAAAAGGCAACAGATACATAAATGCACCAAAAAGGAGGATTGGGGAATATGGTAGGTGAAACAGATACCAGGGGGACAGACAGAGTGAATGCAACTGGTGGCCGTAAGAATGATCAGATCCCTGGAAAATGACACAGGAGGTTAGTTTTGATTGGTTGTATGAAATTACGAAGAAATAAAGCACAGTAACACCCCCTTATATGTGGTTTTGCTTTCCGCGGTTTCAGTTACCTGCGGTCACCTGCGGTCAAGTGTAATCCAGAAGCAGATGATCTTCCTTCTGACGTATTGTCAGAAGGTCAACAGTAGTAGCCTAATGCTATGTCACAATGCCTACATCATTTACCTCACTTCATCTCTTCATGTAGATATTTTATTATCTCGTATCATCACAAGTAGAGGGTGAGTACTGTACAATAAGATATTTTCAGAGAGAGAACATAGTCACATAAATTTTATTACAGTATATTCTTATAATTGTTCATTTTATGATTAGTGATTATTGCTAATTGCTCACCATGCCTAGTTTATAAATTAAACTTTATTGTAGGTATGCATATATAGAAAAAAGCATAGTATATATAGGGTTTGGTACCATCCTTGGTTTTAGGCATCCACTGGGGGTCTTGGAAAATATCACCCATGAATAAGGGGAGACTACGGTAAAAAATGACTGGTTTGAATATTTTTAAATGAACCACTGGCTTTAGTTTCCATATACTTCCAATAGAAACAAAGTATTTATTTTGCTTTCTGTTAGACTCTTCTCTTTCTATGACTTGAACGTAAATGTGTTCTTGATAGTTAATACTCTAGCTGAGGACGATACTGAGTAAGAGAAAATGCTAGGACAGTATATTACAAAAAAATGAGACTCTCCCTTCAGAATAATTTCATGAAAAGATATGTGACCTAATGAAATGATAATATGTTGGGGATTTAAAATCAGAAAACCTGAGGCTAATATCCGGGTCAATCATTATGCAACAGACGTATGTTGAGCATGTAGTATGTGCTATACACTTTTCAGATGCTGAGGCTTCAAAAATGAATAAGGCATGATGCTTTTACTCTCAAAGAACCACATTTCCTTGAGAGAGATACATAGGTATTATTGACAGTAAAATGCAATGATTTATTTAAAAAAAATCTGTATGAGATTTTCTTGACTCTGTCATATTAGTATAGGGAAATCACTCAACCTCCATTGTGAAAAGGTGAATAAAATAATAGTGAAGTTAATATTTTACAAAATATTACAAAATATTACAAAATATTATACATAATATTTTATGTATATATTATAAATAATATTTTTATGTATATAATATTATAAATAATATTTTACAAAATACAACTCTAGTCTGTGTAGGTGGGATAAGTAAAAACCATAGAAATATTAAGAGCTTATAAAATATTAGCATTTTGTCTGGCCCTAAGGAGTTCAAGACAATCCAAAAGAATGTATCTGTGTAGATTTATTTATAACAGTAGCACTTGGCTTTTGATGCACTGAGTATTATAAGTACTGAGAGGTGTTGAAAATGAGATGAAAACTAGAGACCTCCTAAGAAAGATACATCTTACCTCTTACACACAATAAATTTGAATATGGTTTCAAAGGGTTGAAGAATCCCTTGACTTCTCAGGATGAATATCTTTAGCATAAAATAATAGTGACTTGTAATACTTATAAAGCTTATAAGCGGAATAGCTGAGAATTGAACTCCAGCATTCTGAGACCAGTGGCTATGTTACTATTATATCACTACTTCCCCATTAAGATTTATATCTTCATAACATGACAGTCTTAACAGCTGATAGTATTATCAAGAGAGAAGGGAGGAGCTAACAAGCAAATGTAATCTTCCTCCACAGTTCTGAGATGGTTGTCTCATCTAGTGATCTTATCTTCCTCTTATAGGCTTTAGCCTCTTAGAATAGATGATACACATCCAATAGGTGTGTGAATGTGTACAGGTACATCCTAATGCTTCTGGAAACTTGGTCTCATATATTGCTCTCCACTTCATTATATAACAATCAAAATAAAGTAAATCTTAAGAATACTGTTTAAGCATAAATGTTAATTTATTTAGCCAATGTTTATTGAGTTCTTATTGATTAGTTGTACGGGATACAGTTGTGAACAAAACAGACAAAACTTTGTGTCCTTATGGCACTTATATGTTAGTGGAGACAAATAGTAAACATAATAAATAAATATGTTAAAATTTTAGTGGTAAGTGTTAAAGAGAAAAAATAAGGTTAGAGGAATATGAAATGGTAGATGTTAGAGATGGATAGGGGTTGAAATTTTAGATAGGAAGAACTCAGAAATGAATATCCATGTAACTGATGACAAAATGAACCCAGTAGGGTATGAATTTATCCCTATCAAAAGAGTCATCTATCTTTAAGTGATATTCCTGATGCCACCATAAGCACTACCCAATAAGCATTATCCACAAAAATCCTTGCTTTTCATGAGCAATAACACAGGAGCAGTATTCCCAAGAGTGGACAATGTCTTATCCGTTTTAAAATGAAAAAAATCTGCCATTGTTGAACCAATTGAGGTCATGGAAAAAGAGAGGAAGAAGATAGTCAGAGGATCATCTCACTTCTGTGAGAAGTAGTCTAGTGGCTCTAAGAATGCGGACCAGGCAACCTGGGTTCAAGATGGCTGGAGAACTTCCCAGCTGTATAAATTTGGATAAGGTAGTATGTCTTCTAAGCTCTGGTTTGTTTATATCTGGAACAAGGGAAATTCTAACACTTTTCTGATATGTTTGTGGGGAAGATTAAATGAGGTTGTATAGATAGAGCTAAGCACCCTACTTACCACACATGAAGTGTGTCATAAATAGTGGGTGTTATTCCTGTAGTGATTGTAAGCTGTGCAACTTCGAGCAAGTCATGACACTCCTGAGCATCACTTAGTAACAACCGTGGCCTTAATAATCCGACCTTGACTACAGATAATCAAATGAAAGAATATACATGAAAATCCCTTTAAAACAAGAATATGCAATACTTACACAAAGTGCTTCTGCTCTAAGTATTAGTCAAGGTGTGGTTCTAAAACTCCTACCCAGAAAAGAGATTAAAATTTTAGAAAAGAAAAAACTTTCTTTTTAGACTGCTGCAACATCCTTTAAGATAACTACAGACATCCTTTAAACATTTACCCATACTCATATTATTTAAATAAAACACTGGAGTTAAAAAGTGTTATCTAGACTTGATGTAACGGGTACAGGGTTCACACACACAGACACACAAACACACCCAGACCAATCAAAAATGGAAAAAAAAAA